AAAAAAAAAAAAAAAAAACAGAAGTGTAAAATTATTGCACTCCAGCAATCAAAAATGAGATATTGGAGCCTTGCGACAAAATTGTCGGCAGATATTTTATGGTTTCACTTTAAATGCGTTTAATTATGTTGCATTTCGAATAGCAGGGATATATTGTAAATAAAATTCGAGAAGCATTATCATCATAGCTAAGAAAAGAAATCTCGTTGACATTGCATTCAAATTAAGTACCACGTGAAAAATCAAATATTCATTTTGTCTTCCATCTGAATCACCACATATTATTAATTTCACGGAACGTCGATAAAATTATACACATGCGATCGCTACTCTCCTTGATCTCAAATACAATCCCACAGAATATTTGCCACATAATAAGAGCAATATATAATTCCAAATTTGATCCTTATTAAGATTTACATATCTGCATTTATTTTTTTTTTTCCCCCAATTTTGCGTTATATCTATCAAAGCGAGTAATTTGATCGAAAACTAAGCAAGGTATTTATCTTTTTCGCGTTATATTGAGGCATACAAGACACCTGTCAAATTCAGATTCGCGTAGGGTTAAGGGTTAAATAATACGTACGTACGTGCGTGTATGCGTGCGTGACGCAAGGAAAAAGAACCGACGAAAGAAGAGTACAGTTCTCTCTAACTCTAACGTAAGATTTAGCGTTTCTGTGTTACGCCTATCGCGAAACGATACGTGTAACGCGGACTAAAGAATCTTGCTCGCGGGGAAACGAGGGGAGGCAGGGAGCGGCGATTCATTACCGTTTCTACGAGTCGCTCTCCGCCGCAAGGTATCGGTATTGATCCATTGTTTAGCCCAAGGATTCACTGTCAACGGAACCGCCGTCGTGTCGCTCTCGCATATTGATTCTCGCGAGAGGAACCGAATCGCGATCGTCGCACCGAATGCGTATGTTTAGCTGATACACGGATTATTATTATGCGCTACGACACTCGATATGTTACGCGAACGTGATCGCATAACTGTTTTGACAGGGGAGGAAGAAGAACGCGCGACGTTAAACGTCAAGCGGGCGCGCGCGCGAGCACTACATCTGTCGCTGGTCGCCTGCGACGCCGGGGCCGGGAACGCCGAATCAATATCTCGTTACGTCATCGAATGTCCAAGACCAGAGTCGGGAAAGTCGCGCTTTCAGCGCGCTCAAGGGATTCTGTTTTACCGACCGGCGCGAACCTCGTGAAGGAGGGAAAGATGGAATAAGGGGAGAGTCTGCAAATATAAAAAAATTGTCAAAATTTGCAGATGGGAATTTTGCCAACACTCCATCGCGAGCATGTAACATTTATGTGTAAAAAATCTATATTAAATGTAAAAGCTTTCCAACAAATAAAATTATTTCGTTTACGTGTTTGAAACTTTTGTTTACTGTATATATATATATATTAAATTTTTTCTAATATTCTCTATAGTATAAATATAAATATAACGTTTTCTATTATATTTTGTTTTTATCGCGTGCATTTTATATAAAAATAGAATCACAGCCAATATTTCGTTTTGAGGAAATGACATACATACCAGTGCACAGTGGACTTTCATATATATATATATATACATATATATATATCTGCATGCACTTTCGTCACGTCACATGCGATAAGTGATGCTAGTCATCTGTCCTTTCGTCGAGGAGCAGTCAGTGTCATTATATCGTAGTAATTTGTTATAATTTACTTCCGTTTACGTTTCATAACTGAGATCGATGACAAGGAATCGACATTTTTATATATAAAATCTTTTACGTTCACCGGTAAGATATCATATCAATTGTACGATTCATGATAGGTTAATTATACGAAATCTGCGTGTTCTTCATGCAATTAAAAAGATAGTGTACAATGTACACGCATATATTTTGCTAAAATATAAAACAAAAATTTTATATGTACTACTTTAATATTAAGTCATATATCAAAAAATTCTAAGAATCAAAATTATTGTATAAATAATCTTAATTATTGATATAGCTAGATTTTTGTCACTTTGTTTTTGTAATAATTCTATTAGATTTGTATTTTAAAGAAATTTCCTACATTAACATATTCTCTATATTTTTGCAATAATATATTTTTCGTATTTTTATTACTTATTTCAATTATTTCCAGAATTGACACTATCGTAGATTTTAATATGGATTAAATATTTCAATAAGATAAAAAGTGAGGGTGGAATTAATAGAAAAAAATTTTAATTGATAACAAGCTTGGTTATAAAATTGCAACTATAAAATGAAATATAAAGCTATATCTTTTTATTCTTCTGTTTTCTGTTTCAGGTAACATGAAATTGTGGATTGTGATAGCGCACATTGTATTAGTAGCTACTAATCTATGGGTTACAGCGCATTTTCAGGAAGAAATACCTGAAGACAATGAATTTGCCGAATTTGAAGATTTCGAGGAGGAAAAGCCAAGTCTACCCATTGAACGTGTATCAGAATCGATACAAGAAGAAGACCAGGATTTCGAGGACGACGAGGTCTTAGTGGCAGATGGAGACAGTGAATTTGATCATTTCCAAGATGAGGAAGAATTTGAAGGGCTGGATGTTGCAGGAGGCAATGCTGGTCCAAAGACCGATGAACCTTCCACATTGACCATTACAAAAGTTCCGTTACATCTGCGGGATAGATGGGATAGCTTTTATTTAGAAATACTAATGATCACTGGACTGCTGGTATACTTTATAAATTACATAGTAGGACGTTCGAGGAATGCCCGTATAGCCGAGCAATGGCTAATAGATCATAAGCAACTCTTGTTGGATAATTTCTCTCTCGTTGGTCATTCGAGTAAATCAAGTGATAACGCCAACGATAATGATTTAATGAAAGAGAGCGAATCGCAGTATAGTTTATATTGCTCAGGACGTGTCGGCTGCGACTCAATGCTCATTGAATTGAAATTAATAAAGAGGCAAGATTTAGTCGCTGTGTTAGCTCAATTAGTGCGTCCACAAAACGATCAAGCTCACATACATATAGAGCTCTCAAAGGACGAAATAGACAATTTTGTTTTAGCAGTTGCTACAAAACGAACAGCAATGCACTTGGTGCGCGATATGGCTGACATTAGTGTTTATTGCCCAGAGAAACGACCTGGGGAAAAGTTCGGTCTTCCATCAGGTTTCTACGTAATGTCCGAGATCGCAGAAACGACGTCGGCTATCTTGGACACCAGAGTTCTGCAAACCTTCTCAAAATTTGCATCTTACATAGATTATATTCATATTAGTGACCAATTCAGTGGACGCAAACAACAAGAGTAAGTAAAAATACATAAAAAAAAGAATTACTAAATATGTATATGTATATTCGCTAACATTATATGAAAGAGTTATGACAATTTAAGTGGATGCAATATAGCAAATGCGTAGTACTGTTTGCGCATCACTTACCTTTGATATTAAATCACAATGGGTAATATTAACATTACTAATAGCTGTGTTCATTCCAGAGATACTACTCAATTAACAATGCCTGAAGTAAAAAGGGTATTGTTGATGGGCCTGAATATAAGTCTTAAGGGTCGCACGTGTAACGCGGAAACTCAGGAGAGACTCAAGCTTCTACTTCAACTTGCTTTTTATTTAATCGATAAACTGCGACGTTTCAAGTTATCTAAAGAGGTTTGTATTTTTTTGTGCTTTATAATGGAGAATAATCTTGAAAATTAGTACAATGGAAATAAAATTTTATTGTACATAGAGTAAAAATAAGGCGGATAAAAACAGACTCAAAGTGGAGGAAGCCTTCCTGAAGACGACGCACGCCGCAAGGGCCGAAGCCGCGGCGCAAAGACGAGAAGA